TATATATACTCTGTATAAATTGCATGAAAAGGACAAGACTGCTTTTATGCTCATAGAAACATTTAATAAAGCATAAGAAATGGAGTAAAAAAAACTTTCTCTAATCTCAGTTGTTTTAAAGTCACCCCATTTTCACCCCACAAGAGCCAATTTAGTTCATCTCTCTCAATTCAAGGAGTTCAGGACACGAGCAAACAAACCTTTATTAATATGCAGAAAATTTAATCAATTGAATTCATTGTGGCTTTTAGCAGCTCAGATGTGATTCATACTGCCTCATTAAGAACATATTCACAACCACGCAATTATGAAAATTGATATTTCTTTAAAAAATAATTGTGCACAGAGCTTTTAACAGGATGTTCTGTGCACTTTGTTGAACTAAAATGACTAATGGCTTTGAGTAGCAAAAAAGTGAATACAGTACAATACAGAGCTACAGCAATGCTTTTGACTAGTGATATTTACCTTATCATGATTTTATGATTTTTAAATTTTTAAATAAATATTAATTTAACTGCAGAAAATGGCTTCCACATTTGTTTATTTATTTGACCAGAATAACAAGCTAACAGGTTGTCAGAGTGTGGTTTTGCTGCCTTAAAAAATTTACATTTAAAACATTTCATAGCAAATGCCAAACCTATACATGATCATCAGTTTCACATAAAATAACTCAGATGTGTTGCAGCTAGCTGTTAATGCTGCTATTTATGTTTACAGGTAAACTTCTATAAAAAGAACAATATAATGCAAAATTCATATAACGACAAGCTTTATAAAAAGCCATTTGCGTCAACCACAACATTTTTGACAATAAATATGTTGTTGTTAAAGCAGCAGCATTCCGTTTTTGTTTTAGCTAGCAACTCTTTGATAGCTCTGCTTGAAATAGCTGTTAGTTCAACCCAATCAGAAATAAATTAGTTTTAAAAAAAACTTTACAAGATGATTAAAAATTATAACTTCTTAAATATGAATTGTTCATTAACAAAACTGCAGAAAATGAGTTTCACATTTGCTAAAAACTGCTTATTCCATGCAAATACATGAATTAAACTGAAGGTTCAGTCAACACTTGGTTGTTGGTGTTGTAGTGTCTAATAATAGGTGGGTGGAACAGGTGAAGCCTTCAGGATGTTCTGGAGGTGATGGGTATCTGGTGCTGGTGGAAGGGACTCTCTTTTCATGAGTTTGTCCCATTTGCACTCAGGTAACAGCTCTTTTGTCTTGTCTCTCTACCTTTCTCCAACCCGTTCTTCCCATCTTCCCCTTCTTCTCAGAGTCCCACGGAGTCCCTTTCCTTTCTAAACAGCAGTCTGATGGGTCAGTCCACCGGAAGAGAAGTTCCCCTCGTGTCCCTCCCTCCCCTCATGACCAAGCCAGGAGAGCAGTACCTGGATTTGACCCTGCTGTAGCACATACACAAAAGGTCATGTGACATGTTTGGTATGTAACAGACTTGTTAGTTTAAAAGAAATATATAGTCTTTTAGATGTGTTATTTATATTATTAGGTACAGAAATAATTGTATTTTATACCAAATTTATTGCAACCTTTATCAAAAACATAGCATTTTTATATTGCACAGTTATTATTTTAAAAGCTTTACAAATATTTTTTAACCTGTTGTGTTATTGTAATCATTAAAATATGTTTGCCAGCCAAACTAGAGAATGATCTAGTAGCAACTGAGCTAAATCTTTACTTTAAGCTTTTCTGTGAAGAGTGAACGTTTATGTAAATGTGAGATGTGAGTTTTGTGCCCGACTGTGTTTCAAGACTTGATCTGTAAATGCAGAATATTTTGTATGTTAATGTACATTTGATACAGTACATAGTGATTGTATTGGAAGTTTTAGTGCATGAAGTTTAGTAGTAAAAAACTTTTTAATATGTTTACATTATACCAACTACAAATGCACTGCTAATCAGTAAAACAACAAAAATAAAAAATAAAGTAGCAGTATATTTGAATATTTGTTACAATGTGAGTTTGTCAGTTTGATTTTTGCATGTATTTACAAAAATGTGTCATCTCACTTTTATCAACCTCTTCTCTTCTCCTTTACTTATTTTACATGGATAGATGTCTCTATTTTATGCCAGTGTTGGCTGAAATTTATTTTTGTTCACCTAAACATGGATAGCTACAGTTCTGTGTATTTTTATAATTTTGCATCACTCCAGAGGACTCAAAGTTCTCATCTTACTGTATGAATCTCAGGAGTTTGAAAAGGTTCCTGGCTAATTTTGATACATTTTATAATTAAAGAGAGAGTTCAGAACTGCAGATCCTGATGGGTTTATGTGAAAAGGTTGAATAACAAGCTAACAGGCTATTAAATTGTGGTTTTGCTGCCTTTAAATTTTTTTTATTTAAAAACATTTCATATTAGGCTAAATGATAACCCCATTGACATATATTACTGGATTGGATGTGGCTAGCGCGTTGCTGCCTATATTGACGTGCACGCACTGGAGCTCTGTTATGCATTGAGGAGCTTCAACAAAATGAATGGATGTCAATGGACTGTGAGACGTCATCCTGATGAAAAACTCTTATAACTTCCTTATTTCTTGCTCGATTTTTACAAACTATGGTTCAAAATAAAGCTGATGAAATTGTGAATTTTATAGTTATGGAAATTTAAATAGATAACTAATTTAAATGACTAAAACAGTGGCTTAAACTAAGTATTTTGCATTTCACAGGTGTTTTTCCATACAAATCAATGAGTTCTGACCAGCTGGATATTCATACATTAATCAGAACTGAGTCTTAGATATTTGAAATAATAGACATTTATAATAATAAAATTAATATTTCAAATGTGTTTGTGTGTATTTTTATCACCCAAGCTACTGCTTCTGCATCTTCTAAAGAAACCTAATGGTGATGTTTAGAATATGTGTAAGTACAATATTATCACCATATGTGGGACTGACTGCAGTAGATGGCTGGATGAGGTTAGCATGGATGCTTGTAGTAAAGCTAGCAACAGGCTACATTATAAACAAAGTTTACATGTTTATCAACAGAAAGTGCAGGGATAGGATCCTGGTGGTCCAATGTTGTCTTTTACCTGATAAAATGTTTGAAGCAGATGCTAAGTCCTTGGTTGCTCTTTTTTCTGGTCAAATTCAGCTCATCCAATCGCTTGAATGTGGCAATTAGCTAGCCGCTCACCTTTTGAATCTTAGCTTGGGAAAAAGTGATCAAAAATACTCCTTCCAAGTGGGGACGATGCTGGCTGTATCCTGACTGAGTCACTGTTACAAGAAATGTAGCACACTGTTTTATGGTCCTCCTGGTAAAGTTTGAGGCTGTTTTCCCAAATTTATTTAAGTTTAAACACAGCTAGACTGGCTATGAGAGTTTGTAGCACATTAGTGTCAAGATGACAGTCATTTGACTAGTGTTCTAAAAATAGCCTGAGTGAAGGTCCCCATTGTACTTGGTGTAACAGCTAGCCGCTAATGCTGGTAACCATAAACTTCTATGGTCTATATAAAGAACAGTGTAATACAAAATGATGAACAGGTTTATAAAATACCATTTGTGTCAACAACAACAATGAAAATGGATTTGTTTTTGTTAAAATGGCAGCATTCCACTTTTGTCTTAGCTAGCTCAAGCTGGTCCTACTTGGGCAAGCTAACCACTGCTAGTTTACTAGTCTGGATTAGTTAACAACCGACTAGCTAAAAACTATTTGTTAGCCCCACTTGGACTAGCTGTTAGCTTGTCAACCTAAGCAAAATGAAATTATTTTCCTCCAAACTCAAAAGAGCCATCTGTAACATCTTAAATATCAATTTTCCATAAACACAACCCAACATCAAGATAGTAAAGTATTGCTTTAAGTGTTAGGTATCCCATATGCTTTCTTTTTGTTCTGCTGACACCATGAAATACAACTGAATAAATTGATTACAGTTGTTTCTTTTTAAACTGTTCATTGGTAAATTTTCAGAAACATTGAAAAGTAAAAGAAGCTGAAGGATGTTTGACATGTTTTGTAAAATTTACTGCCTTTTGTACTCTTAGTAGAGTCAATGTATTGGTTCTGAATTTGTATCTTGCTCCTGTAAGGAGGTCCTGCTGCAAACATGCTGGATAAACAGAAAATACAAAATAAACACGTCAAGTTTGCAGTCTCCATCTGCTTGATTTCACCATTTGTCTGTTGAGTAATTAATTTATGCTTATTGCACAGCGGGTACCTCAGGAGGGATTTGAGGTAGAAAAGCAAAACACCCTGGTGGAGTCATCTATTGACAGAATGTGGATCAAGGCGATACTTAGGGAACACCCTCACACTGTCCTCTGCGATTACCTCTGAGATTCCCACATACACATAACCTATAGCAAAGAAGCCATTGTCAGTCATTTAAATACTGAACACATTATGTGAGAGGAACGTTTTTAACCAAGTGAAAAAAGTGTAGACAGGAGAGAACAGGAAGAAAGAAGGTGAGCAGACAAAAAGATGTCAGAGCCCCTCGGGACAGGATTGGCATTGTGTAATTCAATCTTGTGCACCCCACCCAGCTTTATCCTTTTAAAACACGTTTGCTTATTCTCACACTAACAAAAACACACTGCTTAAACCAGCACAACATACCTATCCATTTAACAAAGCTCAAACTATGCTTTTTATTATCTTGTCAGACGCACTGGAGCCAGGGGTGGTACCAACAAGGAGAGCCAGAGGGAGCAATGGTGAAAATTGGAGGCACCCACTGTCCTGCTTTTTGGCCAGTTTTATTCTCTTGAATCCCAAACATTTGCTTGGTGTGCATTTTTAATCCATGCTCCCAGTGGTGGGCAGCACTAATCTGAAAATTAGTTCCACTAACCCTAAAGCACTGACTCAAATATTTAGGTCCCCTAATTCTAAAGCACTAATGGTGCGTTCACACCGAACGTGATTTCAGCATCAGGAGCATCAGGTTTACATGCAAAGTCTATGGTGGACACGCTTCAATCAGCGTCTGGAAGGGCTGCGGCGCCTCAAGCGCGATTAGAGCAGCGCGATTTGAACGATCTGAGCGTTCGACGCGCTGAGGCGCAAATCGCTGATGTTAGAAAATCTYAACTTTTGCAGCTCGWCGCGCCACGTCAACCAATCAGAGAGACTCCACTGTGTGACATAGCGACATATTTCCCGACGGGACAGTTTACTGAATGATGTCCACTAACCTGAAACAGATGGAGAGGAGCTCTTTAGCTGAAATCGAGTGCCTGCAGTCGGTGTCCTGACAGATATATCCGCACCAATGCGTGGCAACAACTCATAAGACTGGAAAAATAGTCCTGAAAGCGAGCTGTGAGTCTCTACTCTGAATTATCTGGTGAATTAATTAAGAATTAATTATCCGATGAACGTGACATGCTCTTGCTCTCTGTAAATAAAGCAAAGCCACTTCCTCGTCCGACATTAAACAGAGCCCGGCAGAGGAGGGAGGGGCGGGGAGGCTGTTGCCATGCAGCGCTTCAAGAGCTGTCCTGCGCCTCAAAGTGCACAAGCGACCAACTTCAGCGTTGGCTGCGATTTTGAAGCTGAAATCACGTTCAGTGTGAACGCAGCATTACTCACTGAAAATTTATCAAAAGCTAACTCTAAAGCACTAAAATAACAATCAACCCACGGAACATTCTTCAACAGACAACATGAGTCACATTGCCATGTAAAGACTTATCATTGACATTCCACAGCCATATTTGGGTTCATATATTGTCACCTATAGTGGATAAATGACACAAATATTAACAAAATGTGTGGCAGCTTTCACCTTTAAGTTGTTAACATTAACATTGACCAATGACATTTATAGATCTTAGTGCTTCTAAATTTAGCCTATAAATTTAGCATGTGCTAATCCACTAATAAATTTTAAATTTAGCAAAAGCCCTAAAGCACTAATCAGGAAATTAGTTCCCCTACTTGTGCTTTAGGGGAACTGTGCCCACCAATGCTTGCCCACTAGCTATTTAGGCAGTGGTGGACATGGTTCCACTAATAGTGGAACTAATATTTTGTTCAGCAGATTAGATTTTCACTAACTTTAAAAACTATTAGTGGACCAATTAGCTTCTGCTAAATTAGGTTTTGCCAACTTTAAGTCCACTAATGGCTAATCAACGAACAAACATAACAGGTCAAGTGTCAGAACCGTCGATCTTCAGCTGTAAAGTGGCAAAAAAGTTTGAAACAGACTGTGACAGTTGTTTTAGCAGTTAGCAATTAGTGGTTGGTGCAAGTTTCTGCAAATTTTTACATTTAGCAGTTTAGTGCTAGTGAATCTATGCATGTAACATTCTTTTAAAGCAGTCAAGTTTTCTCTTTTATCTCTTGTATAAAGCTAAAAATGTCAAATCTTGTCCCCTTAAATAAGGATAACCAGTCTAAAACTCAACATTAGGATGCAGGTTCTCAGAAAGTAAAATACGTATTTAAAATAATTTAAGAGAAAAGATTTGATGCGTTGAGCAGTGACAGTGCTTTTTCAATAATATCACCTGTGTCAAGTACTGTTAAATCAATACTTCATTGCCTTTCATACATTGTTTTTATATAAATTGCATGAGACAGGTGAGTTTTTAATATGATTCAGACGTTAGCAGGTCTTTGCTGAATTCATTGCAGACGTATTATTTGTAACTAAGCAGGTCTATGAAGAAACAAACGGAAGTGCAATTAACAGACTGACTCATTCTAACTGCACCTGAGAGGTGTAGCGGCAGATGAATGGGTTTTTCTCTTTTATCGCTGCATTCCCTAACAGGGAGGGTGAGAGCAACACACCAACTGAACATGCAGGGGTGAGGCCGATCCACATTCCCCTGTCAGAACAGAGGCAGAATCAAAGTCGTCAGACTAATGATGGGACCTTTTACTAAAATCCATTCACCAGCAAGAAAACAAAGAAGTGGGATAAAGTTGACGAAAAAGTTGCTTTATTTCCAAGAACATGCTTTCTCAGATCCAACTTGCCTGTGGTGAAAATTGTGTGGAAAAGAAAGCAAAGTGATCAGTTATCCTCATGACAACCTGTAGCGCAGCATCAACACTTTTGATTTGTCTCCTTCTAGTGGACAGAATGAGACAAAAAAAATGTCCAATTCCTGAGTCAATTTTTCCTGTAAAACACATTCTGTTCATATCTTAAAGCACAAATATTGAACATGTTTTAGCATGTAAAAATGGACTTTTCATATATACAGTACAGAAGTAAGCATTTACAGTGTGTGCTTTTTGTTAGCATAATAATTACAATGTCTATTTACACTTAAAAGAAACTGATTTTATAAGTGAAGTGAGAGGATTAGGGCCTCAACAAAAACAAAAAGAATCACATAAACCTAAAAGATAATAAATAAATTTAGAGGAACACATATGCAGGTAGCATCAGAACGACAGGTGTGATCAGCTCTTGATTCCAGTTTTAGATCATTTAAAAAAATTACTTAAGCAAAAATTAACAGTTGGCTTGATGCTTATATATTTTGCACAAATGTTGGTCCAGTGGCGTCTGTTTCTTTTGTTCCGTCTGTGTGACGTCACAGCGTTTGATGGTCCAGGTCTCAGAGTTCAGTCATCAGCAGGGCTCTTAGGATCTTCTCTCTGTCCAACTTCATTTCCTCTCCACTGCTGAAACACACAAACTTTGTGTCATCATGACGCATTTATGCTGTGCCTGATTAATTTATCATGGCTAACATTTGCAAACCTGATTTTTCCCCCAAAAGACAAGATGGTTAAATTTTTTCATTTATGTTTGACAGTGACAGTAAAACATCAGCAAACATTTACGTGCTTTTAAACAGGGGCGCCTGCAGGATTTTATTGGAGGGTACGCACAAACCCATCTACCTGACCCACACAAATACAGGCCACATAGGATAGGCACGATGTGCATGGCACACACATCAACTTGGCACTGCACCAGGTCCTGACCGACATGCCACAGGAGTGCAATGCACATCTGTCCCACAGGCCCAAAGCGTGCGCACACATTTGTCCCACTTTTAACTCGTCACATTATGAAAAGTCAAAAAAATAAACCGACAAACGTTAGCTATTTGGTGGTTACAGATTGCAATATTACATTATTTCTGTCTGCGTCCTTTGCAGGAAGAAGAGAGAAGAAAGAGGAAGGCAGAGCAGCATCAGACAATCACAATGCACCGTGGTCACTGTGTTAAAACGATTATTAAATAAAAATAGGGCAAGAATATGGATTTGATTTATGCAGACTATAGTGGAAACTATGTCAAAATGCAGCAAAACAGTGACTGAGGGTGAGGTCAGTGAAAGGTGATTTTCAGAGAGTTTATTTATTTATTTTTTTAAGGGGAACAAGACGTGAAGCAACACTGTTAAAGTGAATCACAAGCAACCCTCAGCTCAGAACACATGTTGCTTAAACACAAAGATGACTGCCTGACTGATCAGTCAGCACCAGGTGGTTAAAATTACCTGGCTGAGTGCTGCTGGCTGAGCTGGGCTCCTGTGGGTGAGGTGTAGCTGCGGATGTGAAGGCAGAGAGAAGTTATCTTTGTCCGCGGGAGGAGAGATTTCCTGGCTCAGGTGCTGTCAGTTACATCCAGAGGACGAGGCAAAGCGATGGCACTTTATTTCTACTCTTTCGTAAACGTTTCAACAAGATTTAACCGTTCAAAAGTCCGCTCACTCATTATTAGTTAGCTTCACCGCACTGTCAGGTTAAGGAAAAAAGCGCCAGGGCAGCGTCAAATAAACAAAATGAAATAACTAATTACTTAATGATTTTTAACTTATCAATTATTAGTTTCGGATGCATGCACCCACCCAAACAGACGCACACAGATGAAGTTCTGACAAAAAAGACAATTTCTTATTTTCTTTTTGTTCAACATTTTTGTAATAATAAAGAGTGAAAAATCATTAAAAAATCGAATGAATAAAAAAATCGTTTTTTTAACTGAAAGGAAACTCTTAAGGTACGCACAGTGTGTATAGCTGTACAGCTGCAGGCGCCACTGTTTTTAAAGATTAAACTGAGCAAGGAGCATAAAGGGAAGGTCTTTGGATTGTGTCATAATGACACTAAGATTAGATTTATTTTTTTCCAGCTCAGCAGGTGATTCAACATTTTAGATGTGTTGATCAGTGTGAAATATATTGGGACTTAACACTACTGATGTTTGAAAATGATGACTATCAGTCTACAAAATTTTGGCTAAAGAGTACCGACTAATTCAGCAAGATAAAGCCTTTTAATTTTACTGATTCTAATGTAGATCCCTTGTTAGTTACTTTTGCCTAAGTATTTATATTTTAAAACAGAAAATCACTATTTAAATGAAATAAGGTGGGCGATCATGTAATTGCCTGTGTGTGTCTTGAAAAATAATATTTTGATGTGCGTTTGATGTGATTAACTTCTAGAGTAAACTCAAATGAAGAAAATCAAAAGGCAGTCACCTCAGAGGGTCTCTTAATGTAAATTTATTTAGAGTGTGGATGTGTTACCTGTTGTTATGGGCAGTGAGGTAAGGGACCAGGTGAGGCATAGAGCTACGATAGTAAGAAGGGGAGAGGTGAGGGGAAGGCGAAGGAGAGGGACAGCATGGACTACACAGCTCCAGTGTTGGCATATTATCCACCTGGAACAGATATCGGTGCATGCACAGACACAAACAATCCTCTGTTTACTTAAAGACGACACAAGGAAAATGAATGAGATTTTTTTCCCACAGGTGGATAGCAGTGACATGACAAATGATAAAGGTGCACGTGTGTTTGGGTTTGTTAGCTTTGTGTTACCTGTGGGTATATCGACGGTTGTATCTGTTTGTCCAGTGAACTGCTAGATCCAGACTTTCCTGCTTTCTGAGAGGAGATGGCTGCAAGCGCTTCTGGTAGATTGTCTTCATCCTCGTGGTTACTGATGAGTAACAATTTGAAAAAGTGAGTTGCTTACGTGACCTGCAGGGTGACGATCTGCAACCTACAGAGGTGCTTGCTTCATAGCTAAAGGGAACTACTCTCCCACACACAGTCTTTGCAACATACGACTTTTCTTTTAAGCAAGAAATAACTAATTACAGCAAAATGTTGTAAAAAAATTAAATGTGACCTGATGCATTGTAAAATGTGGCCAAAATATGATAAATTTCCACCTTAATGTCTGAGAAAAAATTTTTGAAGCACTTTAGGGAGAAGTACCAACATCTAACAATGATTTTGAGCAGAAAAGTGCTAAATTTTCGCTACTTTCCTTACACTAACAAAGATGTGGCATTGACAGATCTGGGCCACATAAACTAAACCACAACTGGACCAGTTGTGGGATGGACAGATCTGGGACAAATAAAACAAACCACAGTCAGGCCAGATGTGGCATTGATAAGTCTAGGCCATTAAAACCAAACCACAACCGGGCCAGTCATGGAACTGACTAATCGGGGCCATATAAACCAAACCACAACTGGGCATGTCATGGAATTGACAGACAACCAGTTCAGATATGGAATGCCATTATAAAAACGGTGCCATCACTGCCAGTTGACAAAACACTTCCATGCCAGGAGTTCTAGCTTGACACCAGGGCTGTGTCCAAAACGGCAGGCTGGGTCCTCCGAAGGACCTAGCCTACCTGGTCGAGGTGGGCTGGGTCCTTGGCAGACAGGGAAGACCGGAAAAAAAGTATCTGTGAATTTGGACGTTCTAGCCTCCCATCCTTACCCTAGCATATGTCCAGTCACCTAGCAACCGTGACAACGCTAAACAGAAGCAAAATTAGATCAAAATTAGAAAAATATCCATTTGTTAGCATTATTAATATCACAAAACAATAAAATTAACTTGAAGAACCAATGGATGGTGTATGTTTATTTTGCTATATAAGTTTGTTTTATTTTCTCACAAAAATAATGTATAAAACCAGTCGGCTGTGTCCAAAATGGTGGGCCGGGTCCTCTGAAGGCCGAACTCATCGGCAGCATATGTCACAGCGTCGCAACGAAGGCCATCAAAAACCGAAGACTCCTCCGATGCAGCGAATAAATGCATCCTTCCTTTGGCCCAAATCGAAGGACAGGTCAGATGGATCCTTCCCGGCCCAGCATATCCCATTATGTATTGCGGCCCGACCGGAGATTTTTTTTTATGCTGGTTGGCGGATGAAGCGAGAGAAAAGATTACGTTTTAAAAAAAATATGGCAGTATACAAATTGAAAATTTCAAGCGGTTGTAATTTTAATACTTTTATCATTTGTATAGACGTATTTTAAAATATTATTTTTGTCAGAGAAAAAAATGGACTTATATAGCGAAATAAACATGCACCTACGGCGGGGCCATTAGTTCTTCAAGTTAATTTTACTGTTTTGTGACATTAATAACGCGAACAAATTGATATTTTTCTAATTTTGATCTAATTTTGCTTCTGTTTTGCATCGTCATGGTTGCTAGGCGACTGGACGTACGCCGGGGTAAGGACAGGAGGCTAGACCGTCCAAATTCACAGCCTCTTTTATTCTGGTCTTCCCGGTCTACCAAGGACCCGGCCCACCTTGACCGGGTAGGCTGGGTCCTTCGGAGGACCCAGCCTGCCGTTTTGAACACGGCCGTCTATACAAATGATAAAAGTATTAAAATTACAACCGCTTCAAATTTTCAATTTGTATACTGCCATATTTTTATTTAAAACATATTTTTTCTCTCTCTTCATCCGCCAACTAGCATTAAAAAATCTCCGGTCATGCCGAATTCATTTTGGGATATGTTGGGCCAGGAAGGATCTATCTGACCAGTCCTTTGATTTGGGCCAAAGGAAGGACGCATTTATTTGCTGCATCGGAGGAGTCTTCGGTTTTTGATGGCCTTCGTTGTGGCGCTGTGACGTATGCGGCCGATGAATTCGGCCTTCAGAGGACCCGGCACCGTTTTGGACACAGCCCAGATCTGGCCCACACCTGTCTGCTCTGTGGGCCAGTTCTACAACACCCTCTGCACCCCAAGTTGCCAAGACCTTGGCTCGTCGGAGTTGTACTCACAAACTGAACTGTCGTACGAGACGTTTCCTGCGGTTGGAGCTCGGGTTGCCTTTGACCTGCAGTTCCTCTGCTGTGAAGTTACGATCCTGCTGCTGATGAGGCGTCTTTTCTGCTGTCAGACTGGATGCTGCAGAGTCTTGGGACGAACTTTGATATCTAAAATAAAATGCAAGAGAAACTGAGTCCTGCATGCAGGAAGCTGTGTAAATATGGAAACACAGAGAAGACTACTAACCTGCCATTCAGGGTCTCGTTTGAGCTCTTCCCTCTGGGCGTTGTTGGTGTCTCCTTTAGTGTGCAGAAGAATAAGGAAAAATGAAAAACACACTGCCAAGCCTACAAGGTAACATTTAGATATTGAGATAGGGTGCTGACCCTAAAAGCTGCCTCCATTTGGGCTTTGAGGATGTTGCATTTAAGGTGATCCGGGAGCGCTGCCGGAGAAGCAGGGGGGTGTACAGACTTTTCCGACAACAGCTTTTCATCTCCCTGTCAGGCGAACGAAGAGAAAAATGAGGGGGTGCTGGGAAATCTCTCAGCATGACAGGAAAACATGGCGTAAAAATGTTTGTGACCTTTTTGTCGATGTTTATGTGAAGTGAAGGCCAGGGAGGAGAGTCATCATCTGTCTCCAGAGCTTTGAGAAGAGACTGAGAGACGTCCAGGTCGTCCGCAGGGCAGGGGGGAGCTCGACGCTCTGACACACACACAGTGTAAATAAAAAACATAAAGATTCACAGGAAGAACAAGAAGTAGGAAATAATTACAATGGTGCTTGATTAGACTGACATTTCAGACTCACATTTACAGTCTGTGCTGGCACTCATCTTTACAGCCGCAATTTTCTGCTGTCAGGCTAATTTTCAACACTGAATTCATAAAATCAAAAGTTTCTTAAGTCTAACTTACTGTTTTTGCCATGTCATAAAGAAATATTTTTAAAGTGTCAGAAAAAGGGTTCATTATAATACCAAAAACATCTAAGAAGTTATTTTAAACATTAACTTGCTTTAAGACATTTAAAACTACAAACATGATTGAGCAAACACACAAAACATGTTTTAATTCAGTCAGTTTTGCAGAAATAGATGTAAAACTTGATGTGGTGGAAGCTGACATTTGCATCATAGATTCTGAAATGGGGCGCATAAAATGTTAAAAAACGTCACTAACACATTTTCATTATTTAGCTCAATTTCTGAGTGTAAAACTCTTGATAAAAAAATTCTAACATTTTTTTGTTATTTAGCTCATTGTTTTTTTTTTTGTTTTTTTTTTTTGCTAATTTTTACTAAATATTCAATTTAAATGTTCAATAATACAGTATGTAAATATCCTAAATCTAAAGGTGAAATCGGAATGGAACTCAGACTGGTGCACAGATGGTGCTTAGCTTTTTTGCGACGTCCTCATCCTGAGACAAAAGCAAGCTAATGCTGCTAACGCTTTATCTACAACCCCTGGCAAAAAGTATGGAATCACCAGTCTTGGATGAGCACTCATTCAGACATTTCATTCTGTAAAACAAATTCAGATCAAAAACATGATACAATAATAAGGTCATTCCGAAGTGCAACCTGTTGGCTTTCAGGAACACTCAAAGAAATAAAGAGAAAACATTGTGGAAGTCGGTGAATGTTACTTTTATTGACCAAGCACAGGGAAAAAAAATACAGAATCACTCAATTCTGAGGAAAAAAGTATGGAATCACTCAAATTGGAGGTAGAAAATAAGGACACACCCAGTCAATTTTCTTTCCCTAAATGGACACCTGCCTCAGATTAGATTTGCTCATGAGTCTGTGGTTAAAAACACCTGCAGTCATGACACCTTGGGGGGCTGCTGGATGAACAGCAAGAACCACGGCTCCAACAAGAGAAATGTCTTTTGAAACAAAAGAGAAGATTGTGAAACTTCTTGAAGAAGGTAACTCTTCACACATGGTTGTTAAAGATGTGGGCTGTTCACAATTCATCCATCCATCCATTTTCTGTACACGCTTCTTCCTTTTCAGGGTTGCGTGGGTCACTGGTGCCCATATCCAGCAGTCACAGTGCGAGGGGCGGGGTACACCCTGGACAGGTCGCACGTCCATCACAGGGCCACTACTTCAACTTCATCCATCCATCCATTTTCTGTACACGCTTCTTCCTTTTCAGGGTGGCGTGGGTCACTGGTGCCCATATCCAGCAGTCACAGTGCGAGGGGCGGGTGTACACCCTGGAGAGGTCGCAAGTCCATCACAGGGCCACTACTTCAACTTCATCCATCCATCCATTTTCTGTACACGCTTCTTCCTTTTCAGGGTGGCGTGGGTCACTGGTGCCCATATCCAGCAGTCACAGTGCGAGGGGCGGGTGTACACCCTGGAGAGGTCGCAAGTCCATCACAGGGCCACTACTTCAACTTTTTTTTTTTTCAAACTAAAGTAAGAAGTATCCCTCCAAGAAATTACTCAAGAGTAAAAAACATTTGATAAAAAGACTACTCAAGAAACTGAGCAGGACATCTGATTTAATATATAAAAATGTCAAGTT